CAGGGAGCATGCATTTGCACAATAAATTGTTTCAAGCTAGTATAGTATAAGTACTTCTCATCTGTAATGGAAGCTTAACCATCAGATAATTTAAAAAGGAGAGAAATATTTTTACTAAACTGTGCCTAAGGCATCGCAAATACAAAAATGAGTAAGATGTGCCAATAGTTTTCATTTATTTTGCTATTGTGCTTATATGTTCAGTATTAGATACACTTTCCTCAAATATGTTAACTGTTTGGTCACATACTTTAAGGCATATCACTATTCTGCCTCATTGAATAAACAGTGGATGAAGGAGACAGCACTATAAGAAATTGATTTCATATTATATATTGTCAAAATAGGTAATAAACAATATTCTCTCTGATGCTCAATGAGTGAATAGATTTCAGTTGGTTTTTCCAAGCAGACAACTCTGGTAGTTCTCAGTTTACAAAATCTATTTTAAGAAAGAACAAATTTAATCATTCCATAATCATAGTCACCTATATACATCATTTATCTTTTCTGAACTTATGTTTAGAAAGAAATCATGAAAGTAATTTTTAAAAAAATGAAAGAGCAGAATATCTTGGGATTTTTTAACTCCAAGTTACCTTAACACATGAATTTCCTTTTATCAAGGAATAGAATAAATAACACGCTGATGTTATTAATTGCTACACATTAATGTCATTCAAAAATCCAGTTTCAGTACACATTTCAAAAATATATGCTTATCATTGTCAAGTTAAATGTGGCATCTTATTTTCTTTTTCTTTCTTCTTGAAGATATTGATACATTATAATGGTTTCTTTTTTTGTTCTGTGCTTGGGACTGAACCCCTTGCACTTATGCATATTAGAAAGTGCATTATCATGCATTTAATTGTGCTGTAGCCCAGTAATAATGTAAGTTAATCTTTGCAGAAAAAAATTCTGAAACTCAAAAATGCAGTTAAAACTATACTGATTGACAGGTTTGTCTTTTGAAGAAACTGACAAGTATAGAAAACAACAGAAGGTGGAAAAAATGATGAACGCTGTAATTGATTAGTAACTTAATTTTTAAATTTTATTTATTTATTTATTTACTTATTGGTATTTTTGAGACAGGATCACACTGTGAAGTTTGGTCTGGTCATGAGTTCACTTTTAGCCCAGGCTAGTCTCAAACTCGCAATAATTCTCCTGCCTCAGCCTCCTGAGTGCTGGGATTACAGGCGTGAGCCACCACACCTGGCTAGTAACATAATTTTAACAAAAGTATCAAAGCATGAATGAAAGTTGGCAAGATCAATAAATAAGTCCATAAGTTAACTATCATTTCCTTATTAACAAAAACTCTTCACAAATAAGCTTTTATTGTAAAATAGGTAAACACTAAAAATAACCTAAAATTCAACATTGAATAGTTAAATCTTTATGAACTTCTTGCTTAGGATATAATGTAAGCCTTTTTGCATTCTTTGGTCTCAGAATTGCTATTTAATTGGAAAAACAGATTTTGTAGCCAAGAAACAGTTTTATCAAATTTTCTGACAGATCAAAACCTTTTGAAGTATCTTTTCACAGAATAAAGCTGCTAAAATGGTAAAAATAAATCAAGGTTAAATTCTGAAGTACTGTAATAACTGGAGTCTAAAAATAAAATAAATATAAACGCCATTGCAATCTAATCCCCTTGGAAAATGTTTTGTCTTATTTCCCTCAGTCACCTTCTCCTCAAAAGAAAATCAGACTATTACATATTGTTAGCAGTAAGACGTGTTTCTTGTATGGATTACACACTCACCGTGAGCTGTATGTTTTCTTTGCTGAAAGATCAACTTTATTAATTCTATTTTCCAAATATAGTCCAAAAGGAAGAATGGTGGCAATGACTTTGTAGTTCAAGATCGTTCCCTATCATGTCTGATAAAATCGCGTACAAGTGACACAGCTCTGTTTTGAGTGCACTCCGCTTGTCCCCACACCCTTCTTGGCCTTCTTTTAGTTCTGTGCACCAGCAAACTGACTTCTGAAGTCTGTGCTGTCAGGTCCTCCTCTTCTTGTCGCCTGCTGAGTTCAACCACGACACATCCAGTAAGAGGGAAGAATGTAAGAGTAGAGCACAGGCAGGATATTACATTCCCTGACTGCCTCCCTGTTAGGATTTTTTGTTACATGGTGTAGACCCAATTAAAGGTCCTTGTTGTAGGTCTGGGTCTCTTGAATTCTAGCAGCTACTTTGTACCCTGCTTTTCCATCAAGTTCAGGGGTGATAACTATTTCTAGCCACAGCTAATTTCAGAGAGCCATATAGTATCCTTCACTTCTTATTAATCTCTTTCCTCTAGGATCAGGGAAAAACCACAGATACAAGACGTGCACATAGTGTAGTTTATGTACATTATGAAGACTGTGTATCATGACTTCTAATGTGAAATAAAGACCGTGTCTATCTGGTTCAATGAGAAGCCTGGATTGTAGACGGCTCCCTAATGACCCGTTATCCGGGTCCCCCTGAAAGGAATTATGCTGGAATCTGGGTTTGCTGGTCCTAGTCAATACTTGAAGTGAAGCAAAGTAAATGAGAGAGAGAATTAGATATTCTTTAATTAGGGTAATATCAAGTTACAATTTATCTACAGGGTCTAATACATCCTTCTGTAAGGACCAAGACAAAATGCCTCAAACTTTTAAAATGTTCACAAGAAAAAGTTTTATAACATCTTTAACAGCAACGGTCCTTAGCTAATACTACAATGCTGTTTCAACTCTGAGCTCCTTTTAAGCTTCAGGTCCATTGAAATGACTGAAAGGCAGGGACTTATATGAACAGAGAAAGTGTCAGAGATCTAGATTAATCTTACCTCTACATGTAACTAACTGTGAAACTGTCATGAAATGACTTAAACTATCTGGATCAAATTTCATTATAAGTTATGGATAACTTCTGATCTGCTGTTGCAAAACGAGGACCTTGGGAATTAAAGATATGCTGGTTCAACTCCGAAACGCAATGCTGGCTGCTCAGTTTCAGGGATGTGTGTACTATATGCTAGCGGGATGTGTTCTCTTCTTTCAAATGCTTTTGGCCTGTGCACCTTGA